AATATAAAGACATATAGGCATACACAAATACTACATTATTCCAAAAAAGTCTACTGTACCACAAAAATTAATGTTTTGTTTTTTTTTTTTCTTGAGACAGAGTTTCATTCTTGGCCAGGCTGGAGTGCAATGGCACGATCTCAGCTCACTGTAACCTCTACCTCCCGGGTTCAAGCAATTCTCCTACCTCAGCCTCCCGAGTATCTGGGATTACAGGTGCCCGCCACCATGCTCAGCTAATTTTTATTTTATTTTATTTTTTAGTAGAGACAGGGTTTCACCATGTTGGCCAGGCTGGTCTTGAACTCCTGACCTCAGGTGATCCACCCACCTTGGCCTCCCAAAGTGCTGAGATTATAGGCATTAGCCACTGTGCCTGGCCAAAAAATAACTTTTTACCAATGTTGATAATATAATCCTAATATGTCTTTCGTACAGCATGGCTCAAAATGGTCCTTCAATAAATAAGCATGATTCAGCAACTGGAATGTTTTCAAAAAGACAATGAAAAATATACATCATTGTTAGAACCACATTCAAAAAGCACACATGCCATATTATGAGGTATAATTTATATTAAGAAACATCCCTAAGCTATTTCAGTTCTACTTAATTCAACAGCATAAATACTTTTAAGAACCTACTGTCTTAAACACTGAGCTTACCACTGAAAGGTGTATTAATCAAGGCACCTGCTATCAAGACATTTAGTATTACCAGGAATTTAGGTATGTAGCCATATAATACAGATAAGAAACAATGTAGATCAAATATTAAAACATTTGCCATAAACAATAAATGTGATTGATTAGTAGAAAGGGAAAAGTTAGTGTGGACTGAAAAAGTTAGTGTGATGGAATAAACAGGAATTAACCAGGGCTTAAAAGAAAACCATAGGTAGGAACAGTTAATGAAGGCACTTCAGAAAAAGTGTGAGTTAAAAGAAAAAAAAAGGCATAATAATAAACCCACCATAGTTGAGGAGCAATGAAAAGGTATATCAAATGGCAATCAAATTTACAGTGTGTAAAATTAGAGGTAAGTCTGCATCCATAATATTGGGAAGAGAAGTACATACTACAAAGGACCTTCAAAGAACTAAAAACTTAGATTTAAATAATGATTCCTAAAAAGCCTGGCATAAAATCTTTTTGTTTTCCTGTTAACCTTCATTATAAAACAAAAGCATATGTTCCAGTATAAAACTGTTTATCTACAAATGCAGTACAATCACACTTAGAATGTAACAAAATTTTTAAAGGTTTTATTAGAAAGTTTTATTAGAACCTCAAAATTCTAATAAAAGTAATGATTTTTTTAAAGATCTCAGTAGTGTAAAACACTAAAAATAATTCATATTATAAAACATTGAAATTATTCGTAAGATTAAGATGCTGAAAGTGATGCGTTCATTAGACAATCTGGTAGTCTAACAGAAACTCCAGTTATTCAAGAGAATCTCTAATATTTTAGTACTTTGGCTCCAGTTCACCTTAACGTTTCTGAATTTGAAGCAGTGGTCACTAATTTAACTTTTTTTACACTTTCTCCATAATTACAATTGCTGCTCTATTTAATAACATTCCCTCCTAAGTATATCTGAGCAGTTTGTTAAAGGTATCCTTGCATGGGAATAGCAGTTCATAAAGCCAGAGACTGAAAGATTCAATTTTAGCATAGCTAAGGAAACTGAGCTCCAGTTAGCTAGGTCTTGCAATTCACACACAGCTAATGAATATCCTGATGATGACAGGCAAATAAGAAAACTGGGCCTTTGTGACTATGATAGTACCAGCGTAAGGGTCTGTTTACTAGGATAAGGGCTCTCGCCAATAGCTGTTAATACATTTTAAAATGTTTTCCCACATTCATTTTAGTTTGTAACACACACAGTAAAAAGGGTGTGGTAGTCTCTGGCAATATATGTGCAAAGTCAAGTTTCTCAAGTTCCATGAAGATGAGAAAAAATTAAAGTCGATTTGTTATTTAATTCATAAATTTATCTTCTAAATTCTATTAAATGAGTGATGCTTATACAGGGAAAGGATTATTACACATCTAGATACATACTCTTAAATTTGACAAAGGGAAAAATCAAACACATATGACCTCAAGAAAACATTTAAAGCTGATAAACTGATTCAGCCTGTGGGCTTAGGAGACTTCATGCACCCAGGGATGGAAGCAATATCCCAGCACAGCACTGCTAATCTGTGAAAGCATGACCAGACTGCTTCCTTAAGTGGGTCTGTTTGTCCTCACTGGGTGGAACTTAGCAACGGAGGCCTGGAGCGACTCCCACCAACATTCTCTGGCTGACAGAAGTTTGAAAACTTCCTGGGACTAAGTTCCTAGAGGGAGGGGTGGGCTGCCATCTTTGCTGTTTCAGCAACTTAGCCATTCTAGCCTCCAGGCTTTGGAGAGCTCAACCCAACAGGTGGTGGAAGTAGTACCACAGCACAGCACCGCTGCTCTATGAAACTGGGGCTAGACTGCTTCTTTAAGCAATTCCCTGATCCCGTTCCTCCTGGCTGGGTGAGACCTCCCAACCAGGGTCTCCAGCCACGTCTTACAGGTGCATTCGGGCCAGCAACAGGTCTGTGCCCTCCCTGGGATGGAGCTCCCAGAGGAAGGGGTAGGCTGCCATCTTTGCTGTTTCACAGCCTTCACTGGTGATATCTCCAGGTATTGGAAAATCCGAGGCAACCAGGGACTAGAGTGGATGTCTAGCAAACCACAGCAGCCCTATGAAAAAGTGGCCAGACTGTTAAAAAACAAAACAACAACAAAAACCAAACACCCCATCTGAAGGTCAGTAACCTCAAAGATTGAGGTAGTAAGCCCATGAGAAAGCATGAGCACACTGAAAACTCAAAAAGCCAGAGTGGCCTCTCTCCTCCAAATGACTACATCACTGCTCCAGCAAGGGTTTGGAATGGGGCTGAGGCTGACATGGCTGAAACAACAGAAACAGACTTCACCATGCGGATAAAAATGAACTCCACTGAGCTAAAGGAGCATATTCTGACTCAATGCAAGGAAGTTAAAAGCCGCAATAAAACATTGCAAGAGCTGACAAACAAAACATCAAGGATAGGAAGAAAATAACCAATCTGATAGAGCTGGAAAAAAACATAATACAAGAATTTAATATTACAATCACAAGTATTAATAGCAGAATAGACCAAATGGGGGAAACAATTTCAGAGCTTGAAGACTATCTTTCTGAAATAAGACAAGCAGACAAAAATAGGGGGAAAAAATTAAAAGTAATGAACAAAACCTTCAAAAAGTATGGGATTATATAAAAAGACCAAATCTATGACTGACTGGTATACCTGAAAGAGCTAGGAAGAAGGAAACCAATTGGGAAAACATATTTCAGGATATCATCCATGAGAACTTTCCCAACCCTGCTAGACAGACCAACACTCAAATTCAGGAAATGCAGAGAACCTCATTAAGACACTCTATGAGAAGATCATCTCCAAAACACACAGTCGTCAGATTCTCCAAGGTTGAAATGACAGAAAAATGTTAACGGCAGCCACATAGAAAGACCAGGTAATCTACAAAGGGAAGCCCATCACACCAGCAGTGTGCCTCTCAATGGAAACCCTATAAGCCAGAAGAGATTGGGGGCCAATATTTAACATTCTTAACAGCAATTCCAACCTAGAATTTCATATCTAACCAAACTAAGTTTCATAAGCGAAGGAGAAATAAAGATCCTTTTCAGACAAGCAAATGCTGAGGGACGTTGTTACCAACGGACCTGCCTTACAAGAGCTCCTGAAAGAAGCACTAAATATGAAAAGGAAAAACCACTACCAGCCACTACAAAAACACACTGAAGTACACAGACCAGTGACACTATGAAGCAACCACAAAAACAAGTCTCCAAAATAACCAGGTAGCATCATGATGGCATGATCAAATCTACACATAACAATATTAACTTTAAATGTAAATGGGGTAGGCCAAGCCCTGTGGCTCATGCCTGTAATCCCTTTGGGAGGCTGAGGCAGGCGGATCACTTGAGGTCATGAGTTTGAGACCAGCCTGGCCAACATAGTGAAACCCATCTCTACAAATATACAAAAATTAGCCAGGCATGGTGGTGCAGGCCTGTAGTCCCAGCTACTTGGGAGGCTGAGGCAGGAGAATCACTTGAACTCAGGAGGGAGAGGTTGCAGTGACCTGAGATCATGCCACTGCACTCCAGCCTGGACAAGGGAGCAAGACTCCATCTCAAGCAACAACAAAAAAATGTAAACAGGCTAAATGCCTCAATTAAAAGACACAGTTTCTGGCAAGCTGGATAGAGAACCAAGACCCACTGGTATGCTGTCTGTCAGAGACTCATCTCACATGCAATGACACACAAAGGCTCAAAATCAAGGGATGGAGGAAAATTTACCAAGCAAATGGAAAATAGAAAAGAATGGGAGTTGCAATCTTAGTTTCCAACAGACTTTAAATCAAAAATGATGAATGGCTTGACATAATCTAACTATCCTAAATATATATGCACCCAACACAGGAGCACCCAGTTTCATAAAGCAAGTTTTTGGAAACCTTCAAAGAGACTTAGACCCACACACAATAATAGTGGGAGACTTTAACATCCATTGACAACATTAGATAGATCACTGAAATGAAAAATTAACAAAGAAATTCAGGACTTGAACTCAGCTCTGAATCAAATGGACCTGATAGGTATCTACAGAACTCCCTATCCCAAAACAAGAGAATATGCATTCTTCTCAGTGCTACATGGCACTTACTCTGAAATCAATCACATAATCAGAAGTAAAACACTCCTCGGCAAATGCCAAAGAACTGAAATCACAGCAAATAGTCTCTAGGACCACAGCACAATCAAATTAGAGCTCAAGACTAAGAAATTCACTCAAAACCATATAATTACATGGAAATTAAATAACCTGCTCCTGAATAACTTTTGGGTAAATAATGAAATGAAGGCAGAAATCAAGAAGTTCTGTGAAACTAATGAGAAGAAAGATACAATGTACTAGAATCTCTGGGACACAGCTAAGGCAGTGTTAAGAGGGAAACTTACAGCACTAAAATGCCCACATCAAAAAGCTGGAAGGATCTCAAGTTAATGATCTAACAACTAAAAGAAATAAAGAACCAGGAAGAAACAAATCCCAAAGCTAGAAGTCAAGAAACAGGTAAAATCAGAGCTTAACTGAAGCATATAGAGACATGAAAAGATTCATTCAAAAGATCAACGAATCAAGAAGCCAGTTTTTTGAAAAGATAAAATAGGCCACTAGCTAGACTAATAAAAAAGAAAAAAGATTCAAATAAACACAATCAGAAATAATAAGATATTACCACTGCCCCCACAGAAATACAAACGACCATCAGAGAATATTACCAATATCCTTATGCATATCAACTAAAAAAATCTAGAAATAATAAATTCCTGAACACATACACGCTCCCAAGACTGAACTAGGAAGAAACTGAATCCCTGAATAGTCCAATAATAAGCTCTGAAGTTGAGGCAGTAATAAGTAGCCTACCAATCAATAAAAGCCCAGGACCAGACAGATGCATAGCTGAATTCTACCAGATGTACAAAGAGCTGGTACCATTTCTACTGAAACTATTTCAAAAAACTAAAAAGGAGGAACTCCTCCCTAGCTCATTCTATGAGGCCAACATCATCCTGATACCAAAACACAGCAGAGACACAACAAAACGAGAAAATTTCAGGCCAATATCCTCGATGAACATCACTGCAAAATCCTCAACAAAATACTCGCAAACTGAATCCAGCAGCACATCAAAAAGCTTATCCACCAAGATCAAGTAGGCTTCATCCCTGGGATGCAATATTAATTCGATGTATGCAAATCAATAAATGTGATTCATCACATAAACGGAACTAAAAACAAAAACCATATGATTATTTCAATAGATGCAGAAAAGGATTTTGATAAAACTCAACATCCCTTCATGTTAAAAACCCTCAATAAGCTAGGTGTTGAAGAAACAGATCTCAAAATAGTATGAGTCATCTATGACAAACTCACAGCCAACATTACACTGAGTGGGCAAAAGCTGGAAGCACCCCCTTTGAAAATCAGCACAACTCTCACCACTTCTATTCAACATAGTATCAGAAGTCCTGGCCAGAGAAATCAGGCAAGAAAAAGAATGAAAAGGCATTCAAATAGAACAAGAGGAAGTCAAACTATCTCTTTGCAGACAACATGATTCTGTATCTAGAAAACCCCAAGTCTCGGCCCCAAAGCTCCTTCAGCTGATAAAGAACTTGAGCAAAGTTGCAGGATACAAAATCAATGTACAAAAATCACTAGCATCCCTATATACCACCACCAACAAAATGAAAAGCCAAATGAGAAAGGCAATTCCACTCACAACTGTCACAAAAAAATAATGTACCTAGGAAACAGCTAACCAAGGAGGTAAAAGAGCTCTATAATGAAACTTAGAAAACACTACTCAAAGAAATAAAAAACACAAACAAATGAAAAAACATCCCACACCCATGGACAGAAAGAATCAATATCACTAAAATGGTTATACTATCCAAAGCAATTTACAGATTCAATGCTATTCCTATCAAACTACCAAGGACATTCTTCACAGAAGTAGAAAAAATTATTTTAAATGTTATATGGAACGAAAAAGGACGCCCAAATAGCCAGGGCAATCCTCAGCAAAAAGAACAAAGCTGCAGAAATCACATTATCCAACTTCAAACGATAGTACAAGGCTACAGTGACCAAAACAGCATGTTACTAGTACACAAAAAGGCATATAGAGTGATGGAACCAAATAGAAAGCCCAGAAATAAGGCCTCACATCTATGACCATCTTTGACAAAGCTGACAAAAACAAGCAATGAGGAAAAGACTCCCTATCCAATGAACAGTGCTGGGATAACTGGCTAGCCATATATAGGATTGAGGCTGAATCGCTTCCTTACACCACATACAAAAATGAAGTCAAGATGGATTAAAGTCTTAAATGTAAAATCCAAAACTATAAAAACCCTAGAAAACAACCTTGGCAATGCCATCCTGAACACAGAAACGGGCAAAGATTTCATGACAAAGAAACCAAAAGCAATTGCAACAAAAGTAGAAATTGACAAATGGGATCTAATTAAACTTAAGAGCTTCTGCACAGCAAAAGAAACTATCAACAGACAATCTATGGAATGGGAGAAAATATCTGAAAACTATACATCTGACGAAGCTCTAATATCCAGCATCTATAGGGAACTTAAACAAATTTACAAGTGAAAAACAATTAAAAAGTAGTCAAAGGACATGAACAGACACTTTTCAAAAGAAGACATACATGTGGCCAAGAAGTATGGAAGAAAAGCTCAACATCACTGATCATTAGAGAAATGCAAATCAAAACCACAATGATACCATCTCACACCAGTCAACATGGCCATTATGAAAAACTCTAAAAAATACCAGATGCTGGCAAGGTTTTAGAGAAAAGGAAACCCTTATACACTGTTGGTGGGAGTGTAAATTAGTTCAACCACTGAGGAAAGCAGGATGGCGATTCCTCAAAGAGCTAAAAGCAGAACTACCATTCAACCCAGCAATCCTATTACTGGGTATATACCAAGAGGAATATAAAGCATTTTACCATAGAGGCACATGCATGTGTATGTTCATTACAGCACTGTTCATAATAGCAAAGACATGGAATCAACTAAATGCCTATCAATGACAGATTGGATAAAGAAAATGAGGTACATATACATCACAGAATGTTATGCAGCCGTTAAAAAGAATGAGATGCCTTTTATGGGAACATGGATAGAGCTGGAGACTATGATCCTTAGCCAAGACATGTAGGGACAGAAAACCAAATACTGCATGTTCTCATTTATAAATGGGAGCTACATGGTAAGAACTTATGAACACAAAGAAGGAAGCAACAGACACTGGAGTCTATTTGAGGGATGAGGTTGGGAGGACAGAGAGGAGCAGAAAAGATAATACCTGGGTGATGTAATAATATGTACAACAAATCCCTGTGGTATGTGTTTATCTACGTAACACTAAACCTAAAATAAAAATTTTTTAAAAGAAAAATAAAGTGGGTAAACTGCATGTATTTCACCCATTAAAGTGGGTAAACTACATATATTCAGATACTATTTTGGGAGTAAAGGTTTAGTTTAGTAAGCTATGACTCAAAATATAAAAAGCATTAGCATATTTCTATTCTAATCATTCAGTGTTAAAGCAGCAAACCAACAACATAAAATTGAAATGTAAACATAACATAGTCAAAGGAATTTTCTGGGACTATTCATGGACACGTTTTTATTAAAATATTTACTAGATATTAGGTTGGTACAACAGTAATAGTTGGTTTGCCTACTACTTTTGCACCAAACTAAGATGTACTATTTGGTAGGTTTAATTATACTGCTTATTCAATCAGAGCTTGACACTTTCCCAACACTTGCTTGTTTCTTTGACTTGCTGGAGAATGAAATTAATGACTTATTATTGAGTGTGTTTATATTTTTTTAATAATTGGTTTTATTATTAAAACAATTATAAACTTCATTAAAATTTACCTTTAATTAATAGTTTGCCTATGCACAAAATGCCCATTATATAGCTCATGGATATCAAAAACTTTGTTGCTGTCATGTTAAGTAAATACAACATCAGGCATGGTTTTGTTTTTTCTTTCTTAAAGTTTTCTAGGCCTTGGTTCCTTGCCTGTGAAACAGGAATAACAACAGCACCTGCCTCAAAGGGTTATTGTGACCAGTAAACAAGATAATACATACAAAGCACTTAGAATAATGCCCCAGTTTAAGGTAAACCCATATATATCTATGTGTATGTGTACATATGTAGATGTAAAAACATATACAATAAAGTTTAAATTTTAGTTCCTATATGATCCCCAAAGATTAACACTAGAGTCTAAGGACTCTAGTATAGCTCTCTGTCTCTTAAACATATTTGTTCTCCATTTTTAATAATTATTTCAGTGCCTATGTCATTTAAGTAGCAAATTCTTTTTTATAGCTTTTATTTTTTTAGACCCAAGGTCTCACTATGTTTCCAAGGCTGCACTAATATTCCTGTATTCAAGTGATCCTCACATCTCAGCCTTCTGAGTAGCTGGGACTACAGACACATGCTACCACAACCAGCATGTGGCAAATTCTTTTTCCATTGTTTTATTGATATTCAACATGCAAAAAAATTTAATCTTACATAAGTATATAATGTGAAAAGTAGGCCAGGCATCGTGGTTCATGTCTGTATTCCCAGGACTTTGGGAGGCTGAGGTGGGAGGAGCACTTGAGCCCAGGAATTCAAAACCAAACTGGGCAATACAGTTAGACTCCATCTCTGCAAAAAAAATTTAAAATTAGCTGTGCATGGTGATATGTGCTGGCAGTCCCTAGCTACTCAGGAAGCTGAGGCAGGAGGGCCACTTGAGACCAGGAGTTTGAGGCTGCAGTGAGCTATGATCACACTACTGCACTGCAGCCTGGGTGAGAGCAAGACCCTGTCTCTAAAAAAATAAAATACAGGGCTTAATTTCCCGAAATGATATCAATCTAAACATGCTGACCTGCACTTCATCTAAATGCACCATGAACAACCTTCCATATCATTCATTTTATTGCTGGATAATATTTCACTGTATGATATATCATTATTTAACCATTTCCCTATTCATTTAGATTGTTTCTAATTTTACAGTAAAGCAAATAATGCTACAATGTATAAATGTATAAACATGTACATATATCTTTTTTTTTTTTTTGAGACAGAGTCTCGCTCTGTCACCCAGGCTGGAGTGCAGAGTGGTGCAATCTCGGCTCACTGCAACCTCTGCCTCCTGAGTTTAAGCAATTCTCTCCCTTAGCCTCCCGAGTAGTTGGGATTACAGGTGCCCACCACCATGCCCAGCTAATTTTTGTATTTTTAGTAGAGATGGGGTTTCATCATCTTGGCCAGGCTTGTCTTCAACTCCTCACTTCGTGCTCCACCCACCTCGGCTTCCCAAAGTGCTGAGATTACAGGCGTGAGCCACCACGCCCAGCCAAACATGTACATATATCTTCTAAAATCTGCAGATATTTTCAGAGTCTCAGAAATGGGATTGTTAGCTTCTTAGCCCTAAAGAACAAAACCTGAGGCAAAGCTCCCAAGCTACGGAATTCTTGGGAAGTAAGATCCCAGTATATGAAGGATCAAAGTAAAAGGGAGGTATGGCGGGAGAGGAGGAAAACCA